TTCTATTCAATAAAAATATTAATAATTATAATGTGCTTACTTGTCCAACATCAATTTTCTCTGTGTATCTTCTTGCTGTCGCGCCGTTTGTAGTAAAGATAGCGGTTCCATTGCCGTATGGGTTATCATTGATCAAATCAACTGCTTCATCAAAACTGTCAACCGTCAACACACATAGAACAGGTCCAAAGATTTCTTCCTTGTAGCATTCCATGTTAGGCTAAAATTAAGAATATGATATAAACAATTAATATAGATATTTACATAGCATTGGATCATAATTCTTGACCTACTGCAAGTAAATAACAGGTATAGCAAACAGCAACAATAAGTGTTAAATACTTTCAAATATTAGGGAAAGGAAATTCAAAGGGAGTACTTGCTTGTTAGGCTAAAATTAAGAATATGATATGAACAATTAATATAGATATTTACATAGCATTGGATCATAATTCTTGACCTAATGCAAGTAAATAACAGGTATAGCAAACGGCAACAATAAGTGTTAAATACTTTCAAATATTAAGGAAAGGAAATTCAAATGGAGTAGTAGAACAGGAGGCCTAATCAGTAATATACACATTACACTTTTGGCCAGATGCTCTAGAAAATCAATATGCATTATTTTTTAAGATTCAGCACACACATCCATTTCATAAAAAATTGCTCAAGACGCACATTTTCCTGGTTATTGGTTACATTTTCAATCATACACATCACCAAACCTATATATTTTAGAATATGTACTTAGCTATAATAATAATAATGTGCTCAGAGGCCTTGTTGGCATGAAGCATTACTTAACATTATTTATATTATATAAAACAATACAAGAAAACTTGATTACCTTTACATCAGTTAGGATGGTTGGACCAACAAAGTTTCCTTTCTCGTATCCAGGTACAGATATCTCGCGTCCATCAAGCAGCAGATTGGCACCCTCATCTACACCAGACTGAATCAGGGTACAAATACGATCCTTGGCCTGAGGCGAAATGACTGGTC